TGATGATCTGAGGTGGAGCTGAGGCGGTGATGCCAGCGCTGGGGAGCGGCTACAGATACAGACGAAGCTTCACTGGCTTGCCCACCACTCACCTCCTGCTGTGCGGCCTGTTTTCTAATGGGCCAGGGACCGGTACCAGTCTGCAGCCCGGGGGTTGGGGACCCCTGCAATAAAGCATTACAGATGCAGTAACAAAAAATGCAAATTAGAGCAACAATAAAATGCCATTTTTGAAGCTATTAGGTTGGTGAAAAAAAATTTTTAAGTGTAAAAGCACTAACAACCATGGCTGGTGTGTATGAGGGGAAATGGGAACCTCCTCCATTGCTGGTGTGGCTAGGGATTGCCACAGCCCTTTGGGAAATGAATCTGTCAATATCCATTACGATTTGATAAATACCCATTATCAAATATTAATTTGGGGGATTTATTCTCCAAAAGAAAAAAGTACCAGAGGGTAGAGATATACGGGTATGGGAGTGTTTATTAATCAGAGTGCTGTTTAGAACAGCAAAAACAAAATAAAACAAACCAAAAAAAAAAAAAAAAAACGCTGGAAGCTAGGATGTCCTTGATCTCGGAAATGGTTGAGTAAGTCATAATATACCCTCGCCGTGGAATTTTATGCAACCCTCACCAAGAACAAATTAGATCTAAACTTACTGACCCAAAGAGATGTTCACGATGCATTTTAAGTAAGAAAAGGAGAAAAAAAATACATACCGTGTGTAATGAACAATGACCAGAAGTGCCTGATAGACCAGTTTTTAATGGTGCTTATACCTGTAGGCTCAGTGGAGAACAATGCTGATGACATTAGTTATCCTGGTGTGACTGGGATGGAACGTTTCATGATCTGTGGGTCGGATATATGGTAGCCACTCACCACCTGTGGCTACTGAGCCCTTGAAATGTGGCTGTGAGACTGAGGAATTGAATTGTAAATTTTATTTAATTTTAAATAATTTAAATTTAAATAGCCACTGGTGGCCAGTGGCTACTTACTGGGCAGCAGAAATTTAGAGAATCTGTCTAGGAGAATTTGTGGGTCCCAACGTGAAAGAGACATTATTAACAGTGGGGGAGGTAAAATGTTAGTGAATATTTGGCTTTGTGTAATGATTCCCCATTCGATACAGACAGTGACATGCAGACAGGAAGATAATTATCAAACAGGGACAGTAAATACCCAAAATAAACAGTGCGTCTCTGTGGTGTACAGATGGACGCAACTTTTAAAAATCCTATACCCAGAGAAAAAGAGAAGCTGTACAGTGGAGACACCTGACAAACACAACCTCAGGCAAGTGGTCAAGGTCAATATCAACAGTGATGAGTCATGTTGGTAGTTGATATGACCTTGACATGATATGATGATAACGACACTTCACTTCCATGGTCTTCCTCTCCAAATCTTCTAACCTTAGTCCACTCATGAGAAAAAAATAAAATAAAATTCATGACCAGTGCTGTTCAAAACCGTTGAGGTCATCAAAAGCAAGGAAAGTCTGAGAAATTGTCACAGCCAAGAGGAGCCTGAGGAGATATGATGACTAAATGTGACATGCTGTCCTGGGTGGAATCGTGGGACGGAAAAATGACCTTTGGTAAAAGCTAAAGAAGTCTGAATAAAGTATGGGCTTCAGGAAATAATAATGTAGCAATATTGGTTCCATAATTGTGACAAATGTATCGTATTAATGTAACTTGTTCATAAGGGCAAGTGGAGTATATGGGATCTCTTTGCACTATTTCTGCAGTTTTAGATTTCCTTTTATGTTAATCGAAAACTATTTTAAATTAAGATTATTTTTAACTCCCTACACCCAAACCTGCAAAAATAATCAGAAATAATGATGCCTCTTACAAGAGAATTCTTTGCTTTTTAGAAAGATTCTCCTCTGTCACTGCTAACTAATCAGGTATTTTTCATTCTCATTAAAATAGAACCCAAAACTCTCCAGCAGCTAACTGGCCAAAGTCCTATGTTTTAAAATGGAAAGAGAAGCTGGCCCGTTTCTTAGGTATAGATATGGAGAAGCTGGCAGATGACAGAGAAAAAAGCTAGAAGAGAAATTGGCTGCAACGAGTCAGTCAAGAAGGGACAATGAGTGGGACCACCCCAGGGTCACCGGTAATAACAATTTTTTTCCCTTCTCCAAAGTTATTTGCTTGCATAATCAGGGGGACTGCAGAGATGGGGCACGTGTGCTGGAGGAGTAATATTCTGAAAATATGAATTTATCACTCCCTCTCCTTCGCTTCTCTCCCCAGAAGAGGAGAGAGACAGACCGAGAGATAGAGAGACAGAAAGACAGAGACAGACGGAGAGACAGAGACAAAGACAGAAAGAGAAACAGAGATAGAAAAGGAAGGAAGAGAGGGAGGAGGAAGGAAGGAAGGAAGGAAGGAAGGAAGGAAGGAAGGAAGGAAGGAAGGAAGGAAGGAAGGAAGGAAGGAAGGGAGGGACCTGATTGTAGCATTCGCTGATTTTCATGGTGTCAGCACGCCCACAGGGGACAGTTTCAACCACCAACAGTTGTAACAACTGACTCCCAAACTTCCTGAAAATTTAACAGATGGTAGGAGTTCACTCCAGCACTGCACTGCTTGCTGAGAGTCTGGGGGACTTTCTACAAACAAGGAAAAGAATTTATGGCCGTGGCCAAAGCTCTGGAATGGTCGCCACAGGCCTCAGACTATAGAACGAGGACCCATGTGAGAACAAGGAAAGTTGCAAGTGTGTGGGGAGCACCCGACTGAGGACCAGACAGAACCCCCACCCTGCCGAGGCCCCAGAATGTCCCTGCCACCCCTGGGGAGAAGAGGAAAACCCTCATTACCTCCAATTAATTATCTGCTTGAAGTAAAAATCAAGCCAAGTTAGGGAAGAGTGAAGTCTTCATTTGTTGCAAGCTGAGTCTGCGGGCTGAGATTTAGCCCTGCTGCAAATATCTTGGTTTTTTCAATGAACTCTGGACAAAATCCCCCATAGGCTGTTTGGACCTCGCCAACTCTACTCATCTCGTGTTGATCGATGGGTAATAATAATGCCCTGGGGGAGGCCCAGTGTGGCCTGGGGTGCTGACCTTGGCTGCGGCCAGCTTTAGCCATAAGGGCCCACCAAGAAGCTGTTTGTCACATTTGTGGATGGTGCAAAGCCATCAGATGGCCCAAGGAGGGTTCCACCAGGTCTCAACCCAACGGAATGATGGGTTGAAGCCAGGCGAAGGAAAACAGAGAAGGCTGGCTGCCCAGTCCCACGAGCGAGGGCCACAGAGGTTAAATTCATTAGATCCAACAGGAGGGAGGCCTGATTTGCTCGTATTAATTTCACCAAGAAAAAAAAAAAAAATCTCTTCTCTGGGGGCTGATTGAATAGCCTTTGGATATAAAGCAACAGCTTTTTAGTTTGAGCTCATTTTGCCCACATCCTGGTTGACCTTGGCACGGCTGACATTTGGGGCCAGATAATTCTTCATCGTGGGGGGACCGTCCTGTGCATGGTGGGATGTTCAGTGGGCGGAGGAGAGAGCAGGGGATCAGGCAGGGACCGGGCCAGTGCCCTCAGGCTGCTCACGCAGGGCTGCTATTATGTCTAAGTCTTGCAATACCCAGTAGGTATTGTCCCCATTTCTTGGGGCAGGAAACAGAGGCTAAAGGGAGTTAGTTGACCACCCAAGGTCACACAGCTGGGAGTCCATTTCAGCCCGGGTCAGATGGACTCAGGAGCAGGAGACCTTAGCTAATCGGGAGACTTCAGGGCTGGCCCCAGCAGCAGGAACAGCAAACAGAGGTGAGAGCTGTGCGTTCCTCCCCAAGCTGTGAAAACAACTGTCAGAATCACCGCCCCTCACAGCCAAGGACACTCTGATCTGGCCATCCTCAAGGGCCAGGGAGAGAGCTGGCCGGGGCTGTGTGTGTGTGCGTGTGTGTGTGTGTGTGTGTGTGTGTGTGTGTGTGTGTGTTTATGTGCTCACCACCTTATGGACAGACAGACCCCTGCACACAGCCAGGGACAGATAGGAGGCCATGGGGTGGGGAGTGAGTTCAGGTGTAAGACCCTACAGTTCTGTGATGATGCTGATGACCACAATGGCTGCTAACACTCAGCACTCAGCTCTGGGCCTTTACATACATCCATTATCCTGTCTTCTAGTCCTAGGAGAGAGATACCATCATCACTCCCATTCTGCAGGTGAGAAAAGAGAGGCTCCAGGAGGCAAAGTGACTGCCCAGGACCACACGGCTCATAATCGGCAGATCCAGGATTTGAACCCTGGTCAGTCTGGGTCGTACCCATAATGCCATCTGCCCCTTTAGAACAAAAAAAGTCATAAAAGGATGACGGGGAAGGCAATAAAGAACTGCATTCAGATTGCAGGTTTGAGAGTCAGACTGCTGGGTTCAAAGGCCAGCTCGCCCCTCTTACTATCTGTGCCTCAGCTTCCCCTTCTGTAAGATGGGAATAATGATAGCGCCCACTTCCGCAGTGCTTTACTTCTTCGGTGCCTACTATGTGCCAACCACATGCTAGTGACTTCAAGTGCATTATCTCATGCGGTCCTCCTGAAGCCTCTGTTGTCCTCTTTTGAAAATGAAGAAGCCGATGGTGGGAAGGGAGGAGAGAGAATTCTGGGAGAGACTAGAGGAAGCTGCCAGAAACCGAAGTGCAGTCTCCCCTACCCCTCCCCTACCCGTCCTGGCAGCCCCAGGCTTTAGGACACGCCCGGCGGGGCGGGCGGGGACGAGCGGAGCGGAGGGGGCGGGCCCTGGTGGAGGTGTGGCCAGTCCTGCAATCCGATTGGCTGCCCAGAGGCACCCAGGGAATAAAGCCCCGGGCTGGGTAGCTCCTGGGACAATTCAGAAGATAATCTACTTGTCCATCTACCACCCTCCATCTGTCCACGGACTGTCTCACCCGTCCATCCATCTGGACCGTCACTCTCTTGGTCCAGCCACTCTCGGCTCCATCGCTCTGCCCTTCCTCTCTCCCGGCAATGACTTCCAGAGAGCCTCTGCATGTGAAGACCCCCATCCGCGGCAGCATGTCCCTGTCCAAAGTGGCCGGCACCAGCGTCTATCTCAAGATGGATAATGCCCAGCCCTCAGGCTCCTTCAAGATCCGGGGCATCGGACACCTCTGCCAGATGGTACAGGACAGCTCTGGGAGAGGGTGGCCCGTCCCCTTGCTCCACAGAGCAGGACCAGTACCATGTGAAATCCAGGGAGTTCCAGGCTGGGCCCCGCTGACTCCTCACAATGCCTGAGCGCCCACCATCGGTGCTCCCTCTGGATAAGGGGTGCTCGTCACATGGGTCCCCCTCAGGGGCTGGTCCCAGAGCTTGCAGTTGCCAGCCTCTCCTCTCTCCCCTGAGCCAGTCTCTCTGGGGAAAGAAGGTGTCTGAGAGGTTAGGGCAGTAAGGAGAGTCCAGGGTAGTAAGGTGGAGCCCTGGGGCCGGCTGGGAGGTGGGCCTGACCCCCCACTCCCTTGTCTCCCCAGTGGGCTGAGCAAGGCTGTGAACATTTCGTCTGTTCCTCAGGTAAGTGGCCGGCACGCCAATTCCTGTCCTCTGCTGTATGTTCCTGCGCCAAACGCTGCACCCCTCTGGGCCCCGGTTTCCCCAGCCCAGGGGGAAGCCAGAGGCCACCTGGGGAGGGGGGTTCAGGCCCCCAAGGTCAGGCTCTCAGGTTCTCCCACACTGACACACTGTCCACTCCCCACCCCGGCAGCGGGCAATGCGGGCATGGCGGCCGCCTATGCCGCCAGGACACTGGGCATCCCTGCCACCATCGTCGTGCCTAGCACCACACCTGCTCTCACCATCGAGAGGCTCAAGAATGAGGGCGCCATGGTCCAGGTGGTGGGTGAGGTGAGTGCCGACTCAGGGCAGGGGTCACGGAGGGGCCCTGGTGGTGGAAGAGGGTCTCCCAGCCCCTCACCCTCTCTCGCCCCCTCCCTTTCATCCTCCAGATGTTGGATGAGGCCTTTGAGCTGGCCAAGGCCCTGGTGAAGAACAATCCAGGTTGGGTCTTCATCCATCCCTTTGATGACCCCCTCATCTGGTACGTGGAGCCCAGGGTCACCTGGTGTGGGTGGCATCCACTCCCTACAACACTGGGTGTGCACTCGCTGCAAGGCACATCATCACACCATTATGCGCAGCGGTGGTACCTGTGTGTGCACAGCATCACGTAGAAGCATGCACACGGGCATGCCAGCAGGTGCACGCACATATGTGCACTAAGGCTTGTGTTTCATGGCCATGAGCAAACACGCGAGCTCAGATACACAGCTGTTTGCAGTGTGTCTTCCCAGAAGCAGATCCCAAGACAAAGATTTCAGGGAAAGCAGTTTACTCGGGAGGTGATTCATCAGAGGAGTGGGGAAGTGAGGCAAGGAAGGAAGGGAGCCACTAACCGGGGCTCTAAGAGCCAGGTGACTGCTGTGGGCAGCTGGAGCTTCATCCCTTGGGAGGCGGGGGAGTCCCTGGGAGCCAGCATGGAACAGGAGCCAGAGATACCAGTTCATACACCAGCTCCCTTAGTTTTTAATTTGCACAGTTATTGGGTGAAGGATGTTCTTGGGGCGGTCATCTGTTGGCACTGCCAGTTGCCACATTCATAAACAGCTCCCATGGCCAGAGGAAGCCCTCAGGTAGAGATGCAGATGTTAGCAGCTGGAAATCAGGGTGGAGCTGGGGGAAGGGGACTAGCCCCAAAGCCCATCAGTGCTTGGGATGTGGACAAGTGAAGGGCACAAGTGGCATCTCCAGGCATCTCCAGACCCCGCCTGGTGTCTCTAGGAAGCCCGGCCCTGACCTGCCACCCTCCCCCACCCTCCAGGGAAGGCCACACTTCCATCGTGAAGGAGCTGAAGGAGACGCTGAGCGCAAAGCCGGGGGCCATCGCGCTGTCGGTGGGTGGCGGGGGCCTGTTGTGCGGAGTGGTCCAGGGTCTGCAGGAGGTGGGCTGGGGGGATGTGCCTGTCATCGCCATGGAGACCATCGGAGCCCACAGCTTCCATGCTGCCACAGCCGCCGGTGCGCTCGTCTCTCCTGGAACATGCGTGCACACTCACACACTTACACACACACACACTCACGGTGTGACATCCTACTCATCTGGGTCTGGCACCAGCCCTCACACTGCCGGATGGAGATGAAGGCCCTGGCTCAGCAATGGCTCCTTCAGGAATGGCGGCCTTCCTCCCCCGGCCTGCAGATCTTTCTCGGGGGTCCAGATCCAGCTGGAGCCAGAAGGCAGCACACAGAGTGAAAGTCACCAAGACCAAGAGGAGCCCAAAGGGCAGCCTGTGGCCGGTCGGTAATAACACCAGTAACGACCATTTAGATGGGCGGTAACGAGCACAAGTCTACACTCCAGGGCCCATCCAGGCACCTGTGGGACGGATTGTACCTGGTCTTCACAAACCACTCTGTGCATCTGGGCTGCCTTCAGTCCCATTTTACAGGTGAGGAAACTGAGGCTTTGGTCATTTTTCCAGAGTCACACAGTCAGTGAATGATACGGCTGGGGCTGAGCCCAAGTCCGTGACTATATACCACGCATGTCACACTTCCTCATACAAAAAGTCTACATTAATCGTTTATTAAGTTCCGCTGTGGCAGGGTTTTTGCACGCCTCATTAATTTCCCAGCCATTTACTGAGCCCCTGATATGTGCAAGATGCTGTCTGATCCCGGGGAGAAGGAGGTGAATAAACACAGCTCCTGCTCCCAAGGAGTCCATACCCCAGCCCCAAACCCTTGACACGTGGCATTTAACTGAGGTTAGGTTTGGCGCTTTATACAGGAGCCCAAAATAACAGCAACTTAAACAAAATTGAATTTTATTTCCTCTTTTATTAAAAAAAAAAAAAAAGTCTAGAGGTAGCCAGGGGCCCAGGTTCCTTGAGTTTATTCTCCACTATACTTATCATGTAACCTTATGGGCCAAAATAGCTGCTTAAGTGCCAGCTATCACACCCACATTCCATCTGGCAGGAAGGAGGAAGCAGGGCAGAAGCTATGCGCTCTCCCTTTAAAGACAGATTGCAATATTTCACTTACCTCTCATTGGCCAGAACTTAGTCACGTGGCCACACCTGCTGCAAGGGAGGCTGGGAAATGTTTTCCTCCCAGGTATCCATGTGTGCAGCTAGAATAAATATTGGGTAGACAAGTCTCTGCCACAGGTAGAGAAGACTGAGTCCAGGTAAGAACTTCTGGATTCCTGAGTCCAGCCCCCCGGTGCTACCGTGTTGACCTCTGATCTCACAGTATTGAGGTTGAAGAAATAATCGTTGAGCATCTACTATGGGCCACATGGTAAGCTAAGGACTAAGGTGGTCCAGGCACAGAGATGCTCATGGGCGAGTCGGGAGACGAGCTGGGAATAGAATCAGTGATCACTCGGTGAGGCTGGGGAGAAAGGGAACGGTGGTTATGAGTACAGGCCCTGGAGTTAAATGGATCCTGCTCACAGCCACAGCACAACCGCTCCCTAGAAGTGTAACCTTGAGCAAGTGACTGCATACTCTCTGCCTCAGTTTTCCCTTCTATGAAATCGAGCCAGCTAACAATAAAAATGTTTGCGAGAATTAATAAAGCTTGTGAAGTGCTCGGCGCCCAATGTGTTCTCAGGAAGTGGTCACTGTGTGTTATGGGAAGCCGAGGATTCCACATGGGGCCAGGGGACTGAGTGCTCCCCCTGGAGGATCCCTCGGAGGGGGCGGCCTTCATCCTGAGCCCCGAAGGACAGGGTGGGGCTTGGGCAGGCCCAGCGGTGCTAAGCTTAGTGAGGGAGGGTTAGGCAGGTTAGGTGACAACCTGAAGGGAGAGCCGGAGTCCTGTCAGGGAACCGCAAGGGGGCCTTTCAGGCATCTGTTCCTTAGTCATGCTGAACAGAAAATGCTGCTGCTCACTCCCACTCAAGCAATCTGTGCCTTATCAGAAGACCCCACTGTTTGGGAGCCCCCGGGACTTTCCATGCCCACGGACCCCGGTCCCTGCCCCCTCTCACACCATCTTTTTCTCTCTCCCTCCCCATTCTGATCCCCGCTTCCCTCTCTCCCTCTCTCCCTCTCTCCCTGTTCCCCTGTTCCCATGGCCATGGCACCCCCCAGTGTTGCCAAGGCCCTGTGTGTGAAGACCGTGGGGGCTCAGGCCCTGAAGCTGTATCAGGAGCACCCCATTTTCTCGGAAGTTATCTCGGACCAGGAGGCTGTGGCCGCCATCGAAAAGTTTGTGGGTATGTGCCAGGTCCTTTCAAGACTCAATCTGCTGCTTCAGGAACTAAGCGGCTGCTCTTTGGTATGCCAAGGGAGTCCATCACTGCAAATCTTCCTCGCAGTTCCGTCTCCCATCCCTTCCTAAAACTTCCCATGAGTGAACTAATACGATGCGGTGGTAAAAATAGAAAGGTCGATGGCACAAATGAAGAAGTAAGCCTGATAACCATGACAGGAGGGAACACGGACTAAGTATTTAAAATGTTGATTCTGAGCTTCCTGGCAACCAGGGTAAAAAAGGAAAGGATAGATGTCCATGGTGGATTCAGAAGTGGGTCTGTAAACTAGGTTGGACTCTTTCTGGGTTCAGCCTAGGATAGGGTTGGCGCACACGCATGCGCACACAGTAGGAATTTATCATGCTACCTAATTCTCTTGTACCGGCAGCTGGTTTGGCTAATCAACTATGGCGCACTTACTCAGAAGATGCCTCAGAATCCTTCTCAAGACAGTGCTCAGACAATCACAATCATTTTATCAGAGTTAGCACTCATAATGAAGCCTAGCCCCGGCTCAGGGCTTGGAAGGTCAAGCCATGGTAATGATGGAAGGTTTGGTCCAGGACCTGAGTCGGTGGCCAGGGCTGACTGAGAGCGGATTGGCTCATTACCCCTAAGCTTTACCAACAGCCCAACAGTTCCCTTGCACCCTGCGGAACTCAGGCCGCGCCCTCACCGCACCCTCTCCCTGGCAGATGACGAGAAGATCCTCGTGGAGCCCGCCTGTGGGGCAGCCCTGGCAGCAGTCTACAGCCACGTGGTTCAGAAGCTGCAAGGAGAGGGGAAGCTCCATGCCCCGCTGTCCTCCCTCGTGGTCATCGTCTGCGGGGGCAGCAACATCAGCCTGGCCCAGCTGCAGGCCCTCAAGAAACAGCTGGGCATGAAGAACGGGCTGCCCAAGTGAGGCCCTTCCCGCCTTGCGTCCCCTTCCCTACCTGGGAGACGCCTGGAGGGCCTGGAGTTTTATCCAGCGCCTCGTTGTACATATTACTCTTGTGTCTGCGAGTCTGCGGCCGGGCCAGCACCTTCATGTCCCCATGAGCCCACCATGCGGAGGAGCCGATGATCACGGATGGAGGCAGGTCAGCAGCCTATGAGGCTGTGAACTGAACCTCTGCTGTGTGACCGCTGTCACCATCCTCAGCCACCCCTGCTAGGGTGACAACCACCTACATGTAATGCACCAGGTCCCCAGAGCAGGGTGGGTGGGAGAGATTGGGACCACAGCAGGATGCACTACCTCTGAGCCATGTGTCCCCGCCCCAGGCTTTCTCCCTGGGAAGGCCGACAGGGCCTCGGTCCAGGGTCAGGGAACCAGCTCGTCCTTCCTTCCAGAAGCCCAACCCTGCCCTCACTCGTTTTTCTAATGTGAAAACTTTTTCAGTGAAAAATATGTATTTATGAAAGATCCTTCGAGTTTTTCCATCATCACCGTCTTCTTCCCCCACCTTCCACCCCATCACACCTGCTCTTGGCCTCGGCACTCAACAGTGAGCACTCCTATCCCCCACACGCGACCCCCAGGAACCCTGGGCCCCCACCTGGAACTCAAGACCTCCACCCAGCAGGATCTGCCTGCCAGGGGCAGGAAGCTGGTGAGGGAGGTGGCGCTGAACAAGAGGCCTGGGCCCGGACCAGCTGGGAGGCAGACGAGGCCAACCTCATTCTGATGGGAAGTCCTTCCCAGTAACAGAAAGATGTAAGCGCAGAACCCCGAAGAGCAGGGCAGTGAGCCCCTCACTCCTGGGGGTATGTAAACTGACCCTGGACAATCATCTCAGGGACGGGGAAGGAGTGCACTTGAAGTCAGTGTCACGCAAACCCTCTAATACGTGAAACCCTTTGCTCCCACGAAGAGTGCGTGCTGAAGCCAGCACAGGAAAGAGGCACTGCTGGGCTGTCTCGCAGCCCTGGAGGGGACCCCATCACCACTCGGGAACACCCCTGCACCACCTAGAGCAGCCCCCAGGGCACTTTGTTGAATCCCCAAGTTCAAAGTAAAGCTCGAGGCCACTCTAACTTCTCAAGACATCACGCAGATGGGCAGAGGCTTGCAGAGACCTCCACCACCACCCCAAAAGAGCAAGGGCGGTGAGATTTAAGGGGGAGATTGAAAAACCCACCTCAAGCCCACACCAGCCACAGGCCTACCTAGTACTTTCCACATGTACTTTCAACACCCAGGGGACGGGACACCAAGGAAGGGCTGACAGGGGTGGGAAATCACCACTGTGGATCCAGAATTGTTCCTGGGGATAGAGCGGGACCGAAATGGTACCCAGTTCAGGAAAACCTCTTCAGAGCACAGCTGCTTCCAGCTTCCACTGTCCTGCCTGCGTCAGGCATGAAAACCCCCAAGAGGCCAGGCAGATACCTCTGCCCACTACAGGAGCCGAGGCACTGTGGGCTGAGGACTGGCCAGCTGGGCAGACACCTATCCTTCAGGGAAGGGCAGGAGCCACAGATAAGCCTGCAGCTGCCATTTTGAAGCTGAGGATTGTGGGAAACTCCCAGTGCACAGGTGCCGAGAGAAGCTGCCTTTCTGACAGTCTCTGCCAAAGTGGGTCCTGCCTTTGCTGGGTCAGCTGAAGCCCCAATGGGGGGCCATGTGCATGATACCCACCACACCCCACCCCGCCATACTCTGTTCAGAATCACCTTGGCTACCTGACTGTCCCACCTTCCAGAAAGCAGACGGGGCCAGAATTATTCTAGGGAACAGACTAAGGTTGCCCCTTGCTGAGCCTCCCACCCTTGCTTTATTCCCTCCAGAGCATTTATCAACAGCTTACGCACCTATTTTATTTATTTTGTTGACTATCTCCCCAATGTAAACTTTACAAGAGCAGATTTTTTGGTATCTTTCGTTACAAGGTATCCACGGGACTTTAGAACAGTGCCTGGCATGTACTACATATTCAGTAATACTTGTTAATGAATGTTGAGTGTGTGAGGCCCCGTGTGAGCTGCGTCGCAGCCACCACTGCAGCGAATCCTGCCCCAGGTAAGTGCTGACCACATCTCCTCGTTTTAGAGATGAGGTACCCGAGACCCAGAGAGGATAAGTCCCATAGCTAGTAAGAGGTGGAGACAGGATTCGAACCCAGGTCTCCGAATCCAAGGATGTGCTTTCCTCTCCCCAGGCACGTAGCACTGGGCGAGTCCTGTCTCCAATGTAGGTTTCTGAGAATAAACAGATGGGGAGGCGCTCTGTTTTGTGTTTATCTGTACCCCGCAGTAGGACTTGGCAAGGTCTTGGTGGTTAACAGGGTCCTGAAATAGGACCCAGAACAAAGTAGGTGCTCAATAAACATATGGACAGACGGATGGATGGATAGATGGATGGATGATGAACACATAAAAAGATGGACAGATGAATGGATGAATGGGTCGATAGATGGGTGGATGGATGGTTGGATGATTGGAAAACATGGATGTTCAAATGGGTAAATGTATGGGCAGGATCAGATGGATGGATGCATGTACAGACGGATGATGGGTGGGTAGGTTGGCAAATAAATGGATGGACAGACAGAAGGATGGACAGGAAGATGCATGGGAGGCGGGTGCAGGCCTGAAACTTGAGAGGAGAAAAGGCGTGGTCCCGGCCTCACCCACGGCCCCAGAAAGCACAGCACAGGGGCCACAGCCTCTCTCATTTAATGGCGACACAGCCTGCAATCTGGCTCCTGTGGCGGGGAAGCTGTGGGCGCTGCCCCGAGGCCCGGGGCGAGGCCAGGTTCCGTGGTGGGAGCGAGGCTGGAGCATGTGGGCTGCCACCCCTTCCTGCGTGCCCCTGGAGGGAGGACACGCAGGCCCCTCCAGCCACAAGTCATCAGAAACTTTGGTTTTTGTTTGAGTTTCTGTCCTTGAGGAAGCTGCCCAGAACGGGAAATGGGGAGCTGCTCCCCAAGGCAGCAGAGGGGCTGGGGCTGGTGTCTGGGAGGAACGACTCCAACAGCAGGTAACGCCCAGATCTCGGGGGGCTGAAACTCCACAAGCTCCAGAGCCACTGGCAGGAATGATGCCAGGAGGGAGGAACCAGACAGGCCCCTCCTGCCCCACTGCGGGCTCTGGAACCTGATCCCTCGGGACGGGGCCCAGGGTGGGAGAGAGAGCAGCAGGGAGAACGGGGAGAGAAACACGGACAAGAGATGACAGTCGCAGAGGGGGCACTCACCCACTTCGGGGGAGAGGGTCAGTTCTGGGCCCCATCAGGTCCCCTGCCCCACCCAGGAGGAGACACCAAGACGAGCGTGAACCTGGCAGACCCAGGTCCTGGCTTTCGGCACAGCAGGGGCAAAGGCCACGGAGGGAGTGGGCAGGAGGTCACTGCGGCAGCCGGCAGGGTGGCCCTGCTGTGTCAGCAGGCGCAGAAGGCAGCAGGGCAGAGACGGTGCCTCAGTCCCACCAGACCTCGATGGGCGAGAACTTCCAGAGGTCGGGCTGGCCCATGTGCAGCAGGCCGCTGAAGGGCGAGGTGCTCCACTGGAAAGGCGGCAGCTGGTCCCACGTGGGGCCACTGGCTGCCAGAAAGCGCAAGGCCTTGGCCAGCGCCGCGCTAGTCACCTGGGGGCCGGGGCAGAGCAGGCTGCTGAGTGGCCACCCGGGCTGGGCTCCAAGCTGACCCCACCCAGCGGGCTCTGGCGCCCGCCCTAACTTGGACTCAGCCACAGCTCCGTTCAGACCTTGCCCTGCCATCTGCACTGACTGTGGCCTTCACCCCATCCTCTCCCTGGCGAGGACGCTGACCACGCCCACCCGCAGGCCCTGGGGTAGGGCAGCACCTTCACATCGATGCCCCCATGGGAACGCTGGCTCAGGGCCTGGAAGGGGTAGGAGCCGTTGGCTGGGTTGAGGTCGGAGCGGGCCGAGATGGCGTTCTCCCCGTTGGGCTGCGGGCTGCAGCTTTTGCACAGTGACAGCGGGTCGTGCAGGAAGTCATTGTACCTAGGTGCGGGAAGAGAGGGGCCACCAGTCGTGCTGGGAAGCGGAGGCCAAGAAGGAGACGGCCACCTGCTCTCGTGTGCCCGGACCCCTCCCACTGCTGGGGTCCCTCGCCCCCTCACCTCTGTCATCCCATCCTCGTCATTCGGACCTCCACCCGGGCATCCCTCCTTTGGGGCCCCCGTCCCAAGTCAGGCTAGAGACCCATCTTGTCCGCTTAAAGCACTTCTGGGGACGCATACAGTCCTGGTTACACATCCGCATCAGCGTGAGTGCCTGATGGATTCCTACATCTCCACAGGACAGGGTGCCCCCTGAGGACAGTGGGGGACAGGCTTTGTGCCTTCGTCTCCAATACCAAGCACAGTGCCCAGCACAGGGTGGTCGGTCACTCAGCAGCGGCTCAGCATCCTCACGTGTACCATGCAGGTGGCAAAGGACTCGCGCTGAGCGAGGTCACGGCACTGCTGCGCCAGCTGTGACACACTGTCACCCTCCCCTGCCGGCCCCCGGGCTTCCTGTGAGGGTGACTGCGTCACAGCGAAGCACAGAGGGCGCCGCCTGTGAATCCGGGCTCACCGTCCCCCACGCACCTCATGAGCTGCATCATGGAGCCCACGTCCCGCACCAGCGACTGGTTCCGCTGGAAGATCTGGGCCCGGGGGCTCCCGTCGTAGGAGAACCAGTCCCCATACTGGGCCACCAGGTCCTGCATCCCACTGGCATTGAACACACTCTCAAAGGACCTGCCGGGGAGGAGGACGGTCACTCACGACCGTCACTGACCTCACCTGGCCGTGGCCAGGGGCGCGCTGAAGCCCTGACAGTCGGGAGGGCGATAAAAACGCCTTTTGTTTGCGCTGGGGCGTGGCTTGGGGGGGTAGCCAAGCTTGGGCTCCGGGGGTCCAAGAGACATGGCTTCACATGCTGCCCTCATCACTGACCAGCTATGGGACCCCGGGCAAGTTAGGCACTCTCCCAGGGCCTTGGTTCATCGTCTGTGGCGTGGGAACGGGCGCTGTGGCGAGCACGTGCGGTGGTTGTAGGATCAAATGCCAGAACCCACGGAAAGCACAGTCCGCGTCAGGTGACGGGGTGCAGGCCAGCTAAAGCGGAGCCCGCTGGGGAGCCACGCAGGGGTCAGTACCTGAGACGGGCCACCCCCATCACACTGCTGTGGGTACAGACTGGGTGGTCACACGGATGCTGATCTAAGCCCCACGACTGTACCCCAAACCTGCCAAGGGAGAGCTGAGCCAGGCGTGGAGCAGATACGGGACGGGGCGGGGGGGACACATACGGTATGTTGTAGCTGGCCCAGTAGGTCTTCTGGTAGAGCTCTGAAGTCTTGTCGGCCACCACCACCATGCCCCTGGGACCAGGAGAGATGCGGCGGGAGCAGTGAGAACCGGGGCCCGTGTGGGCCCTGCCCTGCTCAAGGACCTCCGCTGGCTCCCACTGCCTGGAGGCAGACGACGGCCTGGAGCTCAGCCCAGTCGGGGCGGCCTTCTCTCCCAACCTCGCCTCCCTTAGATCTTCCCGGCCTGCGCACATGTCAGCACACCTGCCGCACACCTTTACCTGGGCAGTCCCCTCTGCCCGGGGCGCCCTGCCCCACCTTCCAGGGTACTCACGGGATCTGCTCCAGGATGGTGAGCACCCCGCTCCCAGGGCTGGGCCCACCGGGGACGAACGCCTTGTAGTCCACAATCATCCACTGGTTGTTATACCTGCCGAGCCCGGGGAGGGAGGACTGAACAGACCCCGGGGCCACAGCCCCAGCAGCCCCCTGCCCCCAGCGCTCCACACAGCCAGGAATCACGGGGCACGGTGGCCTGGGGCTGTCTGGCCATCTGACTGTCACTCTGGTACTGCAGCTTGACCAGCTGTCCTCAAGCTCTTCTCCCATCGTGTGGTTGGCGTGCTCCAGAGGACTCTGGCCCCCTGCTGCTTACTGGGACAAAGGTCACCTCTGCCTGGCAGTCGAGGACCCTGTACTATCCAGGTTTGGTGTCTCTGATTCACGGGGTCCTCATCCGCCCATGTCCACCTCCTCGGATGGAACCTCCTCACTGTCCCCAGAGCTCAAGTTCCAAATTCTCTTTCTGTCCTTCCTCTGGGGACCTTTCCCTGGGTGGAGGAGCGGGTAAGGGAGGGGCAAATGCTTTCCCTCCCTGAGCCTCAGTTTCCCCATGTACAAAACAAGAGAGGGGACTCTAGGACTCCTTCCGACTCTACTGAAAATCTGTGAAAGGGCTCTGCCGAGGGTGTGGGGTGTGTGGCCCTGGTGCCACATTAGGTCCCCTTGGGTCTGAGGATTAGGGGAAGGTTGGTCCATTTCTTGGGTGGGGAGGCCACAGTGCCAGGAGCCCACTCACGTGCCACTGTTGAACGTCTTGAAGACATCCGCCCAGGTGGCCCCGTCCACGGCCAGGCGGTTGGCCAGGGTGTTGCGCAGCCACTCCATCACACAGCCCTCGGGCTTCACGTACTTCCACAGGTCCCGGTTCCTGTTGCCTATGGTGGTCTCCAGTGTCACCTGCGGGGGGCGCTGCGTTGAAGGGCCACCTGACGTATGGCCGGGCCTGCTGCCACCACTGGCAGAGTGCTGCTCCAGCCGCGGTTCATACAGTGACTATTTAAGTTTTGAAACTTCACGTTCTAGTTCAAGTGCATGGTCCTCGCCAGTCTCTTGCATGAGCATCGAGGGGGATTCATGATCATGCGTCCAGCTTTGCCAGGGGGAAGAGCCACTGAAGAGCCCAGGGCGCTGCTCCTAGGGACCCGCGCCTCCCACCAGGTCGGTCAACTCTCCCCAGAGGCGGCAGCCCGTTTCTACCCCTTCCTCGTGGTTTCGCAGGGGAAACTGGGTGGCTTGAGGCTGTTAGCCTGGCAGACTATTATAATCTCAATAAACTTGTGGTCCTCCCGGGAAAAACATAGCATGACTATTAATGCCCCTTCATACTGAGAGGTAAACTGAGGCCCGAAGAAGCTAAGAGACTTTCCAAAGGTCATGGCCGGTAAGTGGATGGGCCAAGATTCGATCCCCAAACTTCCAGCTCTTAAATCAGTGCTCGTTCTCCTATGGCAGGATATTAGCATGCTTCTCCCTTTCTCATACAACGCTGGAAAACAGCTAAAAGACAGCGCTAGCCACAAACGTGATGTTCCCAAGAGGAATCTATCAAGCGAGCCTCCGAGTGGCCAAGCCCAGGCAGGAACAGCTCCTTCCACTCCCTCCCGCTGTCCTTTCCTTGTCACTCGACCGGCTGCTCTCAGCATCCGAAACCGTGGCCAGGAGTCAGACTAGTCCGGCCTCCAAAGCCCCCGGGAGCAGCTTCCTCTCTCTATGGCAGGGGAGTTTTTAACTCAGGGAGTCCGCACGGGCTTGGATGGGGAAAACATTCTATCTTTAGTTCCACTGACATCCAACTGAAGTCCAGCCTCTCCTTCCGCTGTTAACGCAGGTGACATGCCACAGAGGTACTGGCGGTACCTGAGACCGCCGCTGACAGAAATCACAGATGTTTTCCCCACAGACGACAGGGTTGCATATATCGCAAAGCATCGTTTGTGTTCCTCGTTACTTCTAAATGATGGGAGGTGGCACACCTGCCACCAGAGCTTGTAATGTAATGTGCTAATAAAGCAGCACATGTATTTCAAGTCGACTTGTACAGTATTTTGATAAACACATTTCGGTATAATTGGTTTCCTTTCTAATCCCACATATTTTGCTTTACGCACTTAAAAACATTCTGGGAAGAGGCTCACAGCTCCCCAGATGGCCACGGGGGTCTGGGAAACAAAACCAGTTCAGGACCCGGATAGAAGGTAAACTGTCCACCTGTAAATTTCACTGTCCTCTCCATGGCTTCAATCCGCTGTCCCCACTCCAGAGTGCAGCACGGGGGTCCCGTTGGCCACTGCCTGGTCTTCTCATGCCTCTTTCAACTTAAGGAGACCAAACCCCACACTCCCCTCTAAAAACTAATAGAAAAGAGCCCTTCCTCACTCCCCTCCCCCTCTCCCCAGGGAATTCGCGGTTTCTGCCCAAGTATCTTTTTTAAAGCCATGTTTTTCCTTCTTTGCAGCGTTGCCCTGGCGATCACAGGCCTCACTGGCTCCACGACGGGTGCCAGGGACAGATTTCTAAACGAGTTTGGACCCCGGCCAGGAAAACCGATAAAAACATCATAAACAACATTTATTCAGAAGACCTGGCTAGATTAGAGGGGTTTTGTGGAAAGCAAGAGAGAGGGCAGTATTTTAGAGCAAGGTCGTGCGGGAGAGGGACAGTTTATCCTAAATACGTAAGAACAGAAGGAGGCCATTGAGGTCAAGGATATTACATAAGGGCCCCGAGACCAGGGACTTCTGAGGAGCTGCGTCGCAGTGCAGAGCCCCAGGCTGGCTGCAGGTTTTGGAGGCCTGGGAATCTGCATTTTATGCCCCCCCCCCAACACACACACACAAACCCCACCGGCGTCCAAGCACCAGCACGGGAGAATGGGCCTTGTCCCTGGGATGGCGATGGGAGCCGTGCCCAACTGCCCACCCGGGGAGAAGCAGCCCCGGGAGAAAGAGAGGTGACACGGAGGGGGACTCACCAGCCCAGTGCCCAGGACGTAGAAGTCGTCACAGGAGAAGATGGTGCCGGGATAGGACGAGAAGACCAACTTGTTGCCAGGAGCCAGGGGAGAGTCCTCTGTGGGGAGGGCGTGCTGGGTTAGGGGGGTGCTGGTCACGCAAGCCCATGTGGGGCCCGGGCACCCCCACCCAACGAGCCTTGGGAGCCTGGGGAGCAGCAGGCCGCAGAGGATGCCCCCATGCCTGCTTTTCCATGTAGCCTACTACGTATTCGATGTGCGTGTGTGCGTGTGTGTGTGTGTGTGTGTGAAAGTGAATAGCAAAACACGTATCTATTTTTGTAGTGCCTTTTCGGCTTTCCCTTTTCTTTTAAATTGCAAAGACCTATTGTAAAAACGATAACTCAGAGGGTGATACCTAGAAGTCTAAGAGTGTGAGCTTTATTTGGGGGTAGGGAGAGTTTTCCACCAGCTTTACTGAGGTATAATTGACAAATAAAAACGGTCTATAAAAAAAAGTCTGTATTTAAGGTATTCGATGTGATGATTTGATACATATATACATTGTGAAATGATGACCACAATCAAGCTAATTAACACATCTGTCACCTCATACAGTTTCCTTTCTGTGTGTGATGAGAACGCTTAAGATCTATTCTCTTAGCAGATTACAAGTATACAACACAGTATTGTTCATTATAGTTGCCCTGCTATACATTAGATCTCTAGAACTTACTTGTCTTCTAACTGGAAGCTTGCACCCTTTGAATAATACCCCCCACCATTTCCCCTACCCCTCACCTGACAACCATCATTCTCCTCTCTGCTTCTATGAGTCTGACTTTTTTAGATTCCACATATAAAGTGCGATCACACAGTATTTGTCTTTCTATGTCTGGCTTATTTCACTTAGCGTAATGTCCTCAAGGTCCACTCATGTTGTTGCAAATTTCCTTCCTTTTTTAAGGCTGAATAATATTCCATTGTGTGTGCATATGACATTTTCTTTATCCATTCACCCACTGAGGGACACTTAGGCTGCTTCCACATCTCAGCTATTGTGAATAACGCTGCAACGAACATGGAAATGCAAATATCAACTCAAAATACTGATTTCATTTCTTTTAGATAAACACCCAGAAGTGGGAATGCGGGGTCATACGTGAGCGCAAGCTTTGGGAAGAAGAGACCTAGGCAGAATTCCGGCCCAGCACCTTATTGTTTGGCCTATAGCAACTCACTTAGCCTTTCTGAGCCTCAGTTTCCTTATCTGCAAAATGGGTATGATAACCCCTCGTCTCCACACGGGGCAATCATAAGGATTTAATTTACAAGACCGCAGAGGTAAAGAGCTTCTAGCACAACAGTGGGCATGCAGTAGATGGGCCATAAAAAATAAAGAAAAGTATCGTATAACCAGAGAAGCACTTATCAGGTACAAGAGGTTCTGGGGTAGAGGTGAGGACAACTGAAGCTACTTCTAACCAACAAATAATTAGAAACAAAAAGCACAAAGTCACAACGAAACAGCCGAAGCCGGAAAGGCAAATAACATCGATGGCAGCTTTTGGGGGGCTGAAGGCAGAGTGAATTACGACTGATTTCTATTCCTTCTTTGGGCTCCATTACATTGGTAACATTCTACTGTGAACATGGATTGCCTACGTAATTTGTTTTAATTATTAAAAATTAGCAGAGGGCCAAAAGGTGGAAACAACCCACACCCCCATCAATAGATGGACCGATAAACGAACTGTGGTCTATCCATACAATGGAATATTACTCAGCCATAAAAAGGAATAAAGCACTGACATAGCATGGATAAGCCTTGAAAATACGATGCTCAGTAAAAGGAGCCACGCATAATAAAACTACCGTGTGATTCCATTTACACGACATGCCCAGAATATGCAAATTGCTAGGGGCTGGGCGAGGGGGAATGGGGACTGATTACTTAATGGGGACAGGTTTCTTTTTGGGGTGATGACCACGCTCTGGAAAACGATAAAAGTGGAGGTTGTACAACATTGTGGATGTACTAAACGTCACTGAATCTTTCACTTGAAAAGGGTTAATTATATGTCATGTGAATTTCATCTCAATAAAGTAAGTAAATAAAAATAAGACTACAACCAGAAAAAATTTTAAATGAATGCAGGTTTATATGAAGTTCTAAAACAGGCAAAACTAACCTAATGGGAAGGAAATCGAAGAGTGGTTGCCTGGGGGACGAGGGGGTTTGTGGAGATGAAAGCAAAGGGCAGAGGGAGCTTTCTGGGGTGATGGCGATGTTCTCTACCTTTACTGAGTTTCATGACTGCACATATGTTTGTCCAAACCCATCAAATTATACACGCTAAAACGTGTACGTAAGCTATCCATCAATAAAGCTAATAAACAGTCTAGGATGTCATTTCTCACCTGTCAGAATGGCAAAAATTGAAATGAACAACAACATCCAGTGCTGGCAAATTTGTGGCGACAGCTGACACCCTTGCGTACTGGTAGCAGGAGTGTAAATTGGCTCAATCAATTTTAGAGGCAATTTGGCTACACCTATCTAGAGACTAAAATCTTAATTACACCCATCTTTTAACCCGGCATTTCTACTAGGAAGCATCTCTGAGGGCCCTGTTGCTTGCTGGAAATGGCCCAAATCCTCGACTGGGAATGAGTTAAATTTTCATATCCAGCTGTTAAAAAGTGGACAGAACATGGCAATATCGAGAACTCTCCAAAGCCGGCTTGTTGAGCAAAAGGAGCAAGTTGCAAACAACCCAGGTGGTATGATCTATGTTTTTCAAAAACCCAGAAAACAAATGTTTTAGGGCCGTGAAGCTATCTGTATAATACTGCAATGGTGAATATATGTCATTGTGCGTTTGTCAAAATCCATAAAACTCTACTACACGAAGAGTGAACGTGAATGTAAACTCTGGACTTCTCGGCTGATATCTAACGCCTCGATGTTGGTTCACCAATTGTGACAAAGGTATCACACTAGTGCAAGATGTGAGTAACGGGAAAGCGAGAGGGGGGTACATGGGAACTCCGTACCAACTACTCAATTCACCTGTACACCTAAAGCTTTTCTAAAAGATAAGGTCTGTCAATAATTTAATTTGGTTTAATTTAATTTTTTTAGGCGAGGCAACCCTTGGTTGACCTCACGGATTGCAAGGAACTTGTCAGCTTACAGTCCCTTATTTTTTAAATTTTTTTATTTTTTACTCCTGCAGCACCTGGTTTTCCTAGGTGGTCTCCTATCGAAGTACTAACCAGGCTCGAACCTGCTTAGTTTCCGAAATCAGACGGGATCGGGCTCGAAGGTCTGTTCATTTTAAAAAGGTCTTTCTATACACATGTAAATGCATCCAAAAAATTCTAGATGGAGCCAGATCAAAATGGCAGTGGTTTCCTCCGAGGAGAAGTCTGGAATTTAGAAGGGTGTCAAGGGAGATGTATTTCTTCACCTGTTGCTAGAATTTGTGGCAATGAGTATGTATTCATGTATTACTAGTGTACTAAAAATAAATGAGAACAAATGAAAAATTGAGAAACATTTTTTAAAAGTCTAGGAAACAAAACATAACCAAACATTCAGAGAAATGATCTCTTGCGGGCTGTGGGGTGTTCGAGTGATTTTCATTGTGTGCATATGTTTTGCTGTTATTTTCCAATTTTCTATAACATTTATGTATGACTTCTGCAGGTTTTCAAAAAGATATTGAAGTGTTAATAGATATACAGCATTGAGGATGATAAATCTACGTATGGACAACAGCATGGATAACTTACAGAAGACACACACGGGCACATTCGGCACGTTTCCACTTACATAACATTCAAAATCAGACAGACCTAATCTGCGTACACTTTTCCATATTAACGTCAATTCAGAAGTTTACTTAGATTTAAATTAATGGCCATTAGGTTGTCTCCAAACCAGTATTGCAGGCGACATCCTTGGTCACACTCCCTGTGCAGAAACTGAAACGTTTCTGTAGAGACAGATCTGAGCCAGAGAATTACTGGGTCCTAAGAGTGACAGATTTCGAAGTTTATTAGGTGCGGGCTGGGTCCCTATTCTAAGTGGTTGTGCCAACTTCTGCTCCCATTAGCATTCAGTGAAAGTATTCATTTCCCCACCCTCTCGTCATCTCCTGGCGACATTAAGTTTTTAAGTTTGGCCAAAAAGGAGGTCCTGCAAATATTTGGCAACGGCTACTTCTGGGGTTGACACCGGGGGTAGGAATTGGGGGGAGGCGATATGGGGTATCTGGGCCTTACCTACAAAGATTTTACATTTGACAGAAAGAGTGCATGCCTGCATTACTCATGTAGCGGACTATTTGCAAAAATGGCTGTCATTCTGTATGTGCTTGCATCCACACCACTGCAAAGTGCCTCTGCAGTTCTTCGCCTCATTGACTGGGTCTATTTCCCCTTCTCTCAAATTTGAGCTGGTCACCTGACTTGTTCTGGGCATCAGAATGTTGTGCCAGTTTAAACTAGCCCTCATGATACCTTCCGCATTTCCCTGCCCAGATGTCACACGAACAAGCCTGCTCTAGCCCACTGGAGGACGAAAGACCCTGAAGCCCAGCTGTCCAAATCCCAGGCATGGGAATGAGACCATGCTAGGTCAGCCAGCTCACCCCAGCTGACCACAGAAGCATCAGTGATCCAGCCAAGATCAGCCAGGCCTCGCCCAGGACAACAAAACCACCCAGGTGACCCCTAGACATGTGAACAAAAACAAATGGTTGTGTTGTGTTTTAAGGTTTTGTTGTTTTAAATGTGGGGGTGATTTGTTATATGGCGTTAGTCAACTGATATACCTTGTAAAAAAAAAAACTAAAAGGAAATGAACATGTTAAAAATCAGACGAGCTGTTAAAATAGCCTTCAGTCACTGTGGTGTGCATGGGGCCAAGGCCACATCTCCTAGCACCCTGCCCTGTGCGCCCACGCCCACGCTCATGCACAGACACACCCACACCCACCCACCTTGGGGGCCTTGCCGGAACTGGAATGAGTACTTCTTGATGACACGCAGCATGTTCTGGTAGGAGTTCCAGGTGTTGTGGGCGACCAGGAGGTCACCGTGGCCGGGCAGCAGCTTGATGAGGGCGGAGCAGGAGCCAGCACCCAGGGTATGCCTGGTCTTGGTCTTGTTCAGGGCCAGCTCCAGGTCTTCCAGGTCCCCAGAGATCTGCAACAGGCTGAGGAGGGCCAGGGCGCCAGACGGTTACGCCTGCCCTGAGTGCTGTCACAGACCCATTTCACGGAGGAGAAAGCTGAGGCTCTGAGTGGCTGGTGACCATTCTGAGACCATGTAGCCCCAAAGTGGCAGAGCCACTCAGAATGGTCTCAGCTGGAACTCAGGTCTGTCTGCCTACGAGGTGTGTGGTCCTTTCCCCTACCCTGTCCACTCTGGGGGTGGCACTTACAGGAACCCCAAGGGTTTGATGGTGAACTTCCCAGTTGGAAAGGTCACACTGCCTTCATAGCTGTCCTCTAGGCCTTTCAGCTGCAGGAGGGTCAGCCGCACCTGGGGAGGGGGCAGAGGGCAGCGGGCAGAGGGAGGGTGAGGCCTCTCCCCCAGGCTCACACCTTCTCCTACAGTGGGAAGGGCTCTGGCCTGGGGATCCAGACAGAGCAGGAAAGGCACAGGTGTACCCTCCAGGCTCCAGCCAGCCTTGACCACCTCTTAACCATCACCCACCTCCATGCCAAGCACCCTCCTGCCTTCAATTAATTAACTGTGTGTCCCTGCCCTGTACCAACCCCCATGCTACTCCTACTTAAAAGCCCAGCTCAAAGCCCCCTCCTCCAGGAAGCCTCCCAGTCTGCCCTGGCCCACTGTTGAAAGCTCTCTGTTCTGAGTTTAGCTACTGGCTATGCTGCTGCCTCAGGGCACCTGTCTCATACCGCTGACTTCTCCCCACTGTTATTGTCATCGTTCTATAACCATGGAGTATCATCACTGTGTCCCCCACAGGGCCTTGGCCTGTGCTGGGCATACCCCAGGCACTTAGCACCTACAGGATGGATGGATGGATGGATGGATGGATGGATGGATGGATGGATGGATGGATGGATGGATAGATGGATAGATGGATGGATGGATGGATGG